ATGGGCAGAGAGACGCCATCAGCACTGCGTTCCAGGACCTGCTCGAACTGCGACTGAACATTCATGAGGTCGTCAAACTCGACGTTTGCGGACTCGGCATCTTGCGTCTTGCCGTTCAGTGGCCCGGGGGAAGGGCAGAACGGCAGATCTAGATATGCAGCTCCCGGGATGCGACAAAGCGGGGAGAGAGATGTTGATATTGACTTCGTAACCATGTTTTGAAGCACCATGGATGCGCCGAAGAAGAGCCATACTGCCAGACACAGAGCCAAGGGCTTTTGGACGTATCCAAGAGCCATACCAATGATGTTGAACACCCAGGCCAATATGTTGAAGAGCGCATTCGGGAGACTCTCGGATAGTCTCTCGGAAACCGCCCGCGGCTGTCCAACTGGGTCTTCGTAGTAACCACGGCTCCTTCTCGGATCCCCACGTCTAGACTTGACAGGACTTCCACCACTCGCTTGCCGGATCGCACGACGGCGCACGTCCTGTAGCTGGTAGGAATCGTCGCCGGGACGGATGGTCCTCGAGGACCGGCCGCTGCTGTTTCGGGGACTGGTGCCTGGGCCGGAAGTCATGTGGACGGAGGGCATGTAAAACTCAGGATCCGGGGTCCGGCTGGTGTCGTGGCGAACGGTAGGTTGGAACGGAGAGCGGAGGATTACCCGTTCATCATCCGCCTTATTCATAAAGTCCTGAACGCTGTGATGCGACTCTTGGGAAGCGCCGAAGCTGAAAGACTGCGAAGGAAGTTGGGACGGGTCAGTTGATTGAAAACCATCGTCATCTTCGAGATCGTTCAGTATAGACGTGTCGAAGCTGTCGTTTTCGCCGCCTTCGATCAGGCGCCATGAGCTCTCCACGGGAAGCTCCTGCTCGCGTCGCGAAGGCATCGCGTTGGCAGATTAGGTCGATAAGACTTGGGGGATGGCAGACAGGCCTCAGCCTAAGAAATAATGTGTATATATAGTATTGGCAAGAGTAATGATGTCCATGGGCGACCCGGCCCGTCGTTCAAGAAAGCGCTGAGCGTGTGTGCCCTAGAAACGCGTTGACCGCGTCCAGTGGCGAAATAGATACAAAGTTCGCGAAATGCGACCGCCTCGGTATATATGTAGTTGGGAAGAGATAATATGATTGTTCTGGAGACTTGCTAGTGAGTCATCAGACGGGAGCTAATAACAGGGGTTGGGACAACGGTTCTGGGCAAAATAGGCAGACAAAGGACGATCTATAACAATGAGATGTAAAGATGAAGTTCACAGACATTCACAACAGACGTCCCGGTCTGGCGTCATAAGATCCAGCAGGCGCCCCTTGCATGGCAGCTGTTGTTTGGGGGTAAGGCAGCTTTAGTGGGTAGCTTCCTCCACTGAATCCGCTGTATTGGCAGCAGCAGGGACCATGTGGCAGCGTGACTCGACAATGATAAAGCTTCGCTTCCCCTGGTCAGGTCACATGGACCAGGCGATAACAGATGGTGCATCACCCCGCGCGGCAGCACATCCTCCCCAAAGTCCGACCACCACCTGTCCGGTGAAACATAGAGCCGAATCCGGGGAACGTTGCACACGACCTCACCACCCAGCTGCCCCACTTAGCCTCCGGCGCGATTGATGCCAAACGTCTTTTTGAGGTCAGGAACTTCCGTAGCCTCACCTTCCACAACCTCGCTTTCTATAAACCCACCTGCCTGTTGCGCGCACAGCATCAACAAACACCCCAATCCACCCGAAACAAAAGCGCACACACTCACCCACCATGACGATGGATCAGCGCGAGCTTGAGTCGAGCATCAAGCAGCTCAACAAGACTGTCCAGGCCAACGACCCGCCTTCTTCAGCCTTGGCTCTTCTTGAGCGCCTCAAGAAGGAGGCCGCCCCTACCGAGGAGATGCTTCGAGTACGTCATTTTATTTTTTTTTAATCGCCCATCCGATTTTTTTCCCTCTCATATTATCTCGCGATAAGATGAAAGCAAGTATTTGTCGCTTGGGAAGGAATTAACAATCGCTTAGGCCACCCGCGCCGGTGTCTTCGTCGGCAAGCTTCGGTCGAACTCGAACAAGGATATCGCCCGCGCCGCGACCGAGCTGGTTCACAAATGGAAGAAGCTCGTCGAGGCTGAGAAGCAGGGCAAGCTCAAGAAGCAATCCTCCCCTGCCGCGCCCTCCCCCACGACCGCGAGCGCCCCGAAGCCCTCGTCCTCCGGCAGCTCCAAGGAGCCCTTCAAGGGCAACGCCGAGAACCGCCGTGCCAAGGAAGATGGTGCCGACACCAAGCGCACCGGCGACAGCGTTCGCGACGCCTGCATCGAGCTCCTTTACAACGGCCTCGCCTACCGCTCCACAGCGTCTGTCGCTGACGTCCTCGCCAAGGCTGTTGCTGTCGAGGCTGCCGCCCTCTCCCACTTCAAGGGTGTCGGCACTCCTTACCGCGAGAAGATCAGATCTCTGTTCTCCAACCTCAAGGTCAAGACCAACAAGGAGCTTGGTGTGAATGTTATGGAGGGCAAGATTACTCCCGACCGCTTCGTCGTCATGACCCTGGAGGAGCTCAAGTCTGCCGAGCAGCGCAAGAAGGAGAACTTGCTCCAGGAGGAGAACATGAAGAAGGCGCAGGTGCCTATGGCGGAGAAGAGTATCAGCGATGCTCTGACTTGCGGCAAGTGCAAGCAGAAGAAGGTCAGCTACAGCCAAGCGCAGACGCGCAGTGCTGATGAGCCTATGACCACCTTCTGTGAATGCACTGTCTGCGGTAACCGCTGGAAGGTAAGCTTTACTCCGAGGCTGTTGTGTTTCGCGCGCACACCGACTAACGTCGACTTCAGTTTTCTTAAGCCGGTATCCGTAGCTGCGGAGGTTTCGATTCTTTTTTATCCACTTGACGGCGTGTTTTCGCGTATACCCCGTTACTGAGCACGGGCGGTCTTGCATTTGGCACTCGGAAAGTGCGGTTCGGTTGGTTCGGAGTTGGGGATGAGGGAATGTGGCCTCCTTTTTCATTGCTTTAAGCCGTTCTTACGCCCCGGAAACAAAAGCTTGGGCAATCATTCTTGCTTCTTACGGTGTGCTCATATCGAGGGGATTTGCACTCTAGAGGAGGGTTTCGATAGATTCATCTGAAGACTAACAGGAATTATCGAGTCGTCGTCTCATTGGCATTGATCATGTACACGTTGTTCATTTCTTTGCGGGGTCGATCTTGAGAGCAGAGAACAAATCAGCCGAGTGTTCATCCTGCTCGAGACCCATCTCCGCCACATGCTTCCAAAACTTGCTGAGATGCCTAGTGCCTGAGTCGCAGAGGATGGTGACGACCTGGCTCCCCTCGGGCAACCTCGACGCCGCAACGCACGCCGCGGCACAGTTGACAGCGCTGCTGCTGCCGACGAAGATGCCGTCGTTCTCCACCAACCACCGCGCCATGCGACACGCCTGCTCATCCGTGATCTTGATCGCGTCGTCAACCAACTCCCGTCCAGCCTCGAAGTTCTCCGTGATGCGGTTAATTCCAATGCCCTCCACAATCGTGTCGACCTGCTGCCTGCGCCGCGTGCCCTCCTTCTCGGTGTTGGAGTACATGACGCCGTGGCGGATCTTGTTGTAGAGCCCGCTGCCCTGGGGATCCGCCAGGATAACCTGCAGCCCCGGCACCTTGGCCTCTTCCTTCAGGTACTTGGCGACGCCCGCAATGGTGCCCCCCGTCCCCGCGCCGGCCACGAAGGCATCGAGCCTGCCGCCGGTCTGGTACACGATCTCCGGTCCCGTGGTGGCGAGGTGCGCGGCAAAGTTGTGAGGGCTCTCGAACTGGTCCGCGAAGAATCCGACGCTGCCGTCGCCTGCCTTGGCGGCGTGCTCGGCCGCGCGCCGGCGGGCGAGGTTGACAAAGTGTTCCGGCGACGCGATGGGGGCGGGCGGCACGCGCTCGACCGTCGCGCCGAGGTGGCGGAGCAGGTCGACCTTTTCCATGGCCATGTCGTTGGGCATGCAGATGTGCGCGCGGTATCCCTTTGAGCGTGCGAGCGTTGCCAGCGAGATACCAGTGCTGCCGACCGTTCCCTCGTAGATGGTGTCCCCGCGCCCGGGAACGAGCAGACCGGAAGCCTCCCCCGCCTCGATCATGGACAGCGCAACACGGTCCTTGGGCGTGTTTCCCGCAGCGTTGAGAAATTCGGCTTTGGCGAGGATCGTGCGTCCCGTGGCCTCACTTAGAGATCGGATCTTGATGAGCGGCGTGTTCCCGATTGCCCCCGCGACGCCCTCGGCGATGAGGGGCGGGTTCCATGCGCCAAGCGCCGCAGCGTCCGCATCCGATCCCGATTCATGGTCCTCCAGCTGCACCGGCGGTCCCCAAAAAGCACTGCTTCGTCTGGAAGGGTCCGTAGAAGAGCCGCCGGTTTCCCTCCTTCGTGTGCGGCGGCGCTGGTATCGGCGCTCGAGGTCCGGGTAAAAGTCCTTGAAGCCCAACGTGACAAGTATGCCGGCCGTAAAGGCGAGCGCCAGGGCGGCAGAGCCGTAGGCTTTTGGATGGTTGCTTAGAGACATGTTGTCTGTGTCATGTGTGTTGCTCCATTGTCTGCCGCAACAACCTTTCTTGTGTTCTCTCTCTTGCGAGATGTGTGTTGCGGTGTCGGAGCTGGCGAGTCACTGATCAAAAACAAACAGGCGGTCGCGTGCGCATGAATTTTGACCATCTCCCACTACAGGGGATTAGCCCGCTAAAATGTGATGTCATTTAAGCTCCATTGGACCCCTGTTCTCAGCCTCCATCTGCACAGCAGACAGTCCCAGGTGCCCTGGCTGAAGCCTGCCACACACACCATCGGCGGATTAACAGCTGCCCCGTCCAACAGGGAGCTCGGGCCATGTCCCGAACCCCCCCATGCCAAATGAGGAGCCGACGATTTGCGATTTTGGGCAGTTTGTTGACCTCTTCCTACGGCCTGCGAGCTGAAAACGCCCGTCTCACCGCCGCAAATCCCCCTCCGTCTCCGGGATGGACTCTCCTCTCGTCACCCGTCTCTTCCGCGAGCTCTTTCGCCGCCCGGCATGTCAATCCCGCAGGCAATGCACCACCGCCGCCGCCGCCGGCTCTCTGCCGACCCTCCGTCACAGCACCCAGAATGCCGCTGCCGCCGCAGCACAACCACAACAACGGCGGCACTACGCCGTCAAGACATCGCAACCTAGAGGCGAGCGGACAAACGAGTCCAAATGGCAACAGCGCACATCACTCTTCCCCAGCGACCGCACCGAAGAATTCGATACGTATCCGACCCTGACCTCCGCCGAACTGGCCGCCCGCTCCACCCGCCCGCGCAAGGTCAAGATGCTCACCCGCGACTTCATCGAGGACAGCCTGTACAACCCGGCGTATGGCTACTTCTCCAAACAAGCCGTCATCTTCTCCCCCGGCCAGCCCTTCGACTTTCCCGCCTTCAAAGACGAGCCGCAGTTCTACCGCGAGCTGGGCAGGAGGTACACCGAGTTCGAGGACGACCTTGACGAGCGCGAGGGGGTCAACGACGCCCGGCCGCTGTGGCACACCCCCACGGAGCTGTTTCGGCCGTACTACGGCGAGGCCATCGCGCGGTACCTCGTGTCCAACTACCGCCTGACGACGTACCCCTACCACGACCTCATCATCTACGAAATGGGCGCCGGCCGCGGCACGCTGATGCTCAACATCCTCGACTACATCCGCGACCTCGACCCGCAGGTATATGCCCGCACGCAGTACCGCATCATCGAGATCTCGCCGGCCCTGGCGTCGCTGCAGAAGCATCACCTGCTGTCCACCGCCGACTCGAGGGGCCACGCTTCAAAGGTTGAGATCATCAACAAGTCCATCTTCTCGTGGTCCGAGAGGGTGCCCTCGCCGTGCTTCTTCGTAGCCATGGAGGTCTTTGACAACTTCTCCCACGACTGCGTGCGTTACGACCTGGCGACCGAGGAGCCGCTGCAGGGCTCCGTCCTGGTCGACGGCGACAACGACTTTTACGAGTTCTACTCCCCGGACCTGGACCCCGTCCTCGCCCGCTTCCTCCGCGTGCGCGACGCCGCCACGGGCGGCCGGTATCCGACACCGTACCCGGCGAACCGTCTTCTGCGCAACCTCAAGTCCCGCATGCCTCTCATGCCCAACCTCTCAGAGGCGGAGTACGTGCCCACCCGGCTGATGCAGTTCTTCGACGTGCTAGAGAAGTACTTCCCAGCGCATCGTCTCGTGACGAGTGATTTCCACTCCCTCCCGGACGCCATCCCGGGTCTCAACGCGCCTGTTGTCCAGACTCGCTACGAGCGGAAGACGGTGCCCGTCACGACGCCTTTGGTAAGCTTTTAGAACGAGAGCCCTGATGGTGGCCGAGACTATGCTAACCAACCGCAGGTTCATCAGGGCTACTTTGACATTATGTTCCCCACAGACTTTCATGTCATGGAGACCGTGTACCAGGCCATCACAGGTAAGCTCACGAGACTCATGTCGCACGGCGACTTCATGAAGCGATGGGCGTTCCTCGAAGACACCCAAACGCGTAGCGGGGAGAACCCCCTCCTGAGCTACTACCAGAACGCTAGTGTTCTGGTCACTGTATAAACAACGACCTTGTATAGAGAAAAAGGACATATACCCCGTGGGCCGTGGAAGATCTCTCCGCGATGACACATTCAACATCTTCATCTTGACACCGTAAACGTGTGTGAGGGGAACTGCTTTTGAAATCTCTTCAAACTACTCCTGTGTGCCCTTACGGGTTCACAACATGACCTTTCCACCCATATGCCTTATCCGTCTAGTTCCTGAACAAAAGTGAATTGGTTGCCAACATGCGCCCACGGCATGCAGCGGGAATATTTTTCTCACGCTCAGATGTTGAGCTTCTCCTTGAGCCACTTCTCAGCGGTGGCAACAGCCTCGTCAATGTTCTCGGCGTTGGTGCCCTGTCCCTGACGAACGGGCTCCTTACCGCCGGACTTGCCTCCGATAACTCCGCTGACCTGGGTGGCCCATTGCTCAGCAGTAACACCCTGGGATGAAAGGTGCTGTTACTTGGATTAGCCTGGTGCTCATAGAAGAAGAGTTTAGTCAACTTACCGTTCCAACATAGACACCATGGGCGACCGCGCCCTCGTCCTTGCTACCGCCAAACAGGTAGACAGAGCGCTCCTTGTCCTTGGACTGGAAGTGCTTGACGACCTCACCGATAGCCTTGGCGTTGGCGGAAATAGGGAGCTGACCGACGAACCACTTTGAGTCCTTGTTCTTATCAAAGTGGCCAACGACGGTGTCCAGAGCAGTCTTGGCCTCGGCCTTCTGGCGCTTCTTCTGCTCATCAGTGACGGCCTTGACGATCTTCTCAAAGCGCTTCTTGATGTCTTCCTTGGTGAGTGTGGAGATGGTCAGCTGGTTCAGGGCGTGCTGCGTAGTCTTGATCTCCTGCTCCTTGCCGGGGCCAAAAGGCAGGGCCTCGAGAGCGTCCAGCTTCTTGGAGAACTCAACAGCTTCGCGCTGGACCTGGTGAGCAGCGTCGCCAGTGTAGGCGATGATACGGCGGATACCCTTGGCGATACCGCTCTCCTCGACAATGACGAGATCCTTGATAAGACCAGTTGACTCGACGTGGGTTCCACCGCAGAACTCGACACTGTACTTGCGCCACTCTGGGTTCTTGGGGTTCGCAAGCATTGTGTCAACGTCGACACCAACGGAGACAACACGGACAGGATTGGGGTAAGTCTCGCCGAAGACAGCACGGACACCCTCGATGCCGCGGGCAAGGTCGAGGTCGACCTCCTTGGCGTAGACTTTGCCGTTTTGCTTGATGTAGGTGTTGGAGAACTCCTCAATCTTCTTGAGCTCGGGGATCGTCACTCCAGTCTTGTGCGAAAAGTCGAAACGCAGCTTCTCGTTGTCGACCAGGGATCCCTTCTGGTTGATATCATCGCCGAGCACCTCACGCAAAGAGTGGTTCAGAACGTGAGTACCGGTGTGGTTGTTGCGGATAGGAGATCTCCTCAGCTCGTCGTACTCGCAGATAACCTCCTCACCAGAGGACAGAGCACCGTACTCGAGGTAACCGTTGTGGACGATGTACCCTCCAAAGTTTTGAACATCAAGAACCTTGAACTCGGCAACATCGTCAATGACGATGCGGCCAGTGTCAGCAACCTGGCCACCGGACTCGGCGTAGAAGTTCGTCTTGTCGAGAAGCAGACCCAATGGAGTCTTCTCAGCGAGGTCCTTGGTGGACTTGACGAAACCCTTGCCATCGTAGATGACCTGCACCTTGCTCTTGGCATCGCCCTTGCCGAACTTTGCCTCATCGTCTGTCCTGGCGACGTTGAGCTCCTTCTCGAGCTCGGCAATCTGGTGGACGTTGAGCTTGGCGAACGTTTGAACAGCGCTCTTGACGACCTTGCTAGCCTCACGGGCCTTCTCCTGGGCCTCCTTTACCTCATCCTCGTCAATCTCGAGCTGGCGCTCCTCAGCCATGAGCTTGGTCAGATCAACAGGGAAACCGAAAGTGTCGTACAGCCTCCATACGACAGCACCGGAAAGCTTCTTCTCGCCCTTCTTGAGAGCTTCCTTTGCGTACTTCTCGAACTGAGCCTCGCCGCGGTCCAGAGTACGGGCGAAAGCCTCCTCTTCCTCGTCGAGAATCTCCTTGATGTCCTGCTGCTTCTTGACGATCTCAGGAAACTGTTCACCCATCTGCTCAACGAGCGCAGGGAGGATCTTGGAGAAGAAAGAGCCGATCTCGGCGTTGAAGTACTTGCGGGCATATCTGACACCACGGCGGAGAACTCTGCGTACGACGTACCCACGGCCATCGTTGTTGGGAACAGCACCGTCAGACATGGAGAAGGTAAGGAGACGAATGTGGTCGGCAATGACACGGTAAGCAGTGTCAATGCCGTCAGTGTCGTCAGCGCCGTACTTGTCAGTGTATGGCCTGGCACCAGTGACCTCCTCTATCCTCTTGAACAAGGGGGTGAAGATGTCGGTGGCGTAGTTGGAGACGGTGTTCTGGAGAGCAGAGACAAGACGCTCGAAGCCCATACCGGTGTCGACGTGCTTAGCCGGGAGGGACTTCAAGCTCTTGTCGGCCTGGCGGTCAAACTGAATGAAAACGTTGTTCCAGACCTCCACAACCATGGGGTCGTCCATGTTGACCAAGCTCGCAGCGTTGCGGCCGCCAATCTTGTCGTAGTGAATCTCACTGCAAGGACCGCAAGGGCCCTGGTCGCCCATCTCCCAGAAGTTGTCCTTCATGTTACCGGGCAGGATGTGATCTTCGGGGACACCGACGGACAGCCACAGGTTCTTCGCCTCCAGATCCGGCTCAAGACCCATGGCAGGGTTGCCCTCAAAGTAGGTGACGTACAGACGAGCGGGGTCGAGTCCGTAGACCTTGGTGAGAAGCTCCCAGGACATCTCAATTGCCTCCTTCTTGAAGTAGTCGCCAAAGGACCAGTTGCCCAACATCTCGAAGAAAGTGTGGTGGTAGCTGTCCTTGCCGACATCGTCAAGGTCGTTGTGCTTGCCGCCGGCGCGAATGCACTTCTGAGAGTCGGCCGCACGCTTCAGAGTGTACATGGGATCGGCCTTGGAGATCGTTCCGAGGAAAATAGGCTTGAATTGGTTCATGCCCGCATTGGTGAAGAGCAAGGTGGGGTCATTGTGAGGGACGACGGAGGAGGAGGGCACTGCAGCGATAACGCCGGAGGTCAGCTGATTGAACTTGTACAACCACAAGAATACAACTGAGTAAGAGGCATTGCATGATCAGCGCAGCATGTGCGCGATGCAGCATCATGGTGTTGTTGGTGGGAATGTGGTGATATCGTACCGATGGTGTGGCCCCTCTTCTCGAAGAAGTCGAAGAAAGTCTTGCGCACGACGGCGCCGGGCCACTGCTGCTCAGCCATGGTTGCAGTAGACGAAGTCAGGGAAGAAGAAAAGCGCCTCTGCCAGGGGAAAACCCTCGATGCGATTAGTCCAGACGGAGGCGTGACGGTGTTCGTCTGGAATCTGACCGGCGTTCTCGTGCGAAGATTGGCGGTGGTGGAGGGAGTGGTGGAAGAAGGCGAAATATCAGGGTCGCCGGCGCGGCGGGTGTGACTCTTGTTGCGGGACGAGCTTGTTAGTGCTGCAGCTGGTGCTGATGCTGGGCTTGGTGCATTGCCTCGGACTTGGGGTAGGAGGGGCAGCGACGGCAGCGATAGCGGGACACTGGGCTGCTGCTGGTGCGGGAGCGGGTGGTGGTGCAGGGCGGTAGTTGACGAGGGGGTTGCTTCGGCGCTTTTGTAGAAACTTCTACAAGAAGTCGAATGAGTCAAATGCGGTACAAAAGCGCCAGAGCTCCTGCTCCTCCCCAGCTGTCCCCCATGGCTGCAGCTCCGCGCCAGCGAACGCGCCCCTAGCACGAGCACCGCAGCTTTGGTCATTCCCCCTCAAATACCACAAAAGGCCACCAGCGAATTGCGATCCCGACGCAACCGTCGATTGTCTCCTCTTTTCCTCACTCCAGCTCCTCTCGAGAACGAACGACGACCCTTCAGCTGTAGCCACAAGCGACCGAGCTCCTTTCAGCAGAGAGACGCCTTGTCGGAATCCAGGCCCAGCCGGACGTATATCCGTCTTGAACCTTCGCCGGTGTCGGGTTTCTTATCGCCTCTCTTTGGCCCTGGCCTTCGCCCGTCGACCGGAACTCACTCGAGCTTACGCTTTGCGACGGGATATTCCCTTTTCCACACCACCCACCTTTCGGGAAAACCAGCTCGGCGGTCAGCGTATTCCTCTTCACACCTCCGCGCGCACCCGATTGCGGCGTCCGTCGTCCCACGCTGCGTTTTTCGTTGTGTCTCTCCGTGCTGCGATCTTAGTGGCCGGCCTCGAGCTCTGCGTTTAATTGAACATTCTCGTCGACTGTGGTTCGTTGTCGTTGTCCCGGGTCGGCAGTTGCGGTTCGAGTTTTGAACGGGGTTAGGAAGTAGGCGAGGCGGGAAGGAAAAGTTCCAGCGAGACCCGGGCTCTCTAGAAGCAGCCGCCCCTAAAATGCTGTTGCACGGGGCCCAATCGCCCTCCCACGCCCTGGATGCCCACGCCCTGGAGGCGGACCAGCACCAACATCAACAGACGAGGCAGTTGAGGCGCAAGAGGAAGGCCGAGTCTCAGGACAATGAGCGGTTGTCCAAGAGACTCAGTCTGTTGAATTTGGGTAAGCCACAGTTACCTCCAATTGACTTTGTATCAAAGTGCATTGCTGACTGTCACGCAGAAAAGAATGGCCAGAAGCTCTACATTCCCGTGGAGAATCCCATCGCCTCCGCATCAAATGCATCTCCAGACGTCATTCCGTCAGCAACACCGTCAAGCACACCGCCAAGTGGTCGCCGCCGCCGTGACCGCAAACTCCCTTCAGATGATGAGGTGATGCAGCTTGACGACTCAAAGTACAAGGTTTACATCTACGATATTGACGACGAGCTGTCTTCGTCTGAGAGCGAACCCGAAGAGGGCAAACTGGTCTTCCTCCCGGACATTGAGAAGCACCTGCGCGCCACTCGCATTCCCCCTCATATCCTCGCCAACGA